TAACTTTATTAGCTATATTCTGGAACCCCTCCCTCATGTGATAGAAGAAGCAAATAACGCAGCTCAGCAGTGTTAAATATTACATTCTTACAAAACAAGATATATTGTACCTTCGCAGGTACCCTTAGAGATCCTCACAAGGGTTCTATAAGTTATAAATAGGATTCAAGAAGCAAAAAAAAAAAAAAATAGAATGCAAAACTAAGAATGGTGTCTAAGTGTTAGCTCAAACCAATCGTAAAGTTTTTATTATATATAATATTACCTTCAGTAAAGTCTACATCTTCAGCCCAGTTTTCAATGTATATGAAGTCCACCTCACCACTCCACATACGATCATCGATAGGTAGCCAATGGCAAAAACAGCGGTCGTATACACTTGATACTGCAATATAACATAATATACAATATAAGTATACACTGGACACTGCGATATAACATAATATACATTATTAGTATACACTGGACACTGCAATATAATATAATATACAATATACACTTGATACTGTAATATAATATAATATACAATATACACTTGATACTGCAATATAATATAATATACAATATAAGTATACACTGAACACTGCAATATAATATAATGTACAATATACATTTGATACTGTAATATAACCAAATACACAATATACAATTGATACTGTAATATAATATAATAATAATATAACATATCGCCAGAAGAATTGGCTAACTACTTTAAAGAGTTACTGAATCCGTCACCTGCCACCATCAATAGTGAATTTTCACACGAAACTTTCTTACATGTCAACTCTTTTGAAAACATCTGTGTTAACACAGCATGTGAAACAGATTTTATATTAAACGGTCCATTACAAGAACAAGAAGTGATGAAAAGTATAAAGAAAATGAAAGCAGGTACATCACCTGGTATGGACGGTATTGGAATCGATTTTATAAAATCTTGTTGTTCACAGTTAACCCCTATATTGTCTCTATTGTTTAAGCACTGATATCCCCTTTGCATAAAAAAAGGCTTCAAAAGCGATGTGAATAATTACCGTGGTATCTCTCTTTTGGATAGCTTTGGTAAAATTTATACTTCCGTTTTGAATTATAGATTGCAAATATGGTCAGAATCACTCGACAAATATACTGTGGGGGCCGTCGTAGACCAAGTGACGCACCAACACATCATCGACGTATCAGCATAGTTAATGCTAAGACCAAACGTACCGGTAAAATATTTAATCAAGAAAATGTTCACAAGCACAGTTCAGTACAATCAATATATGTTTTCATAATACTCATTTCAGCAATATACATTGTTCTTCAACATATTTCAGTATGTAGGCCTATTATGTGTTCTTATTAAACACATGTCAACTCAATAAGTATCGACGTAACAACGAAAGGAGTACCACCAAAGGGTCATTCTAAAGTTATCGACGTAACAACGAACATAGTACCACCAAAGGGTCATTCCAGCATATTAGGAAGTTTCAGCATACATAAACCATATCCCATTTACTAATAAACAAGTATCCACATAATTACATAGTTCCCTAAGGAATACACATTCAATGGTTGAATATAAGTTGAATGTCTTAACTTGAACTGAATGTCCTTACTTGAACTGAATGGTTTTGCTACAAAATATAAAAATGACAATCATAAGACACAACTCACAATTATAAGAATCCACAGGCATTCGTAGCAAAATACAGAATCTGAACTAACATATACCAATTTGCAAAATGTCAACACTAATAGACAGTCTTAACTTCTGGCAACAATATACACATGATAACATAATGAAATTGTAACCTTATCTTAAAATTAATAGTTCTTACAGACAACTTAGACTTCAGAAATTCAAGCAATGCACGTGGTAATGAAACGGATGCCTTTGGACTACTGTCAGTAAAATAGAAAATTCCTTTGAAGTACATTTGAGAGCAAATTCTCAATAATTACACATGGCATCCAACAGAAAATGTCTACAGAACATAATTAAAGAATTCCTTATTAGAATATACATAAATAAATTGAAAACTTACAACTTGTGAGGAACTATGGTCGAAAATAAAAATATCAAAAAGTTTAGTCTAACTTCCTAAGATGGCGGCAAGAAAAACTAGCTCAAGGCCGTGTGCACAATTTGACCTTTGACATGTGATCTGCGACCTAGCT